GTGCAGTTCGCGTATACTATATATATTTTCCTGTACCGTTATTTTATAAATCCTTTAAAATATGTTGCCGCGAAGAAAGAATAATGCTAATATTAAAATCGAACAACCGATAGTCGCGAAAAAAAAAGGATGACCGTATCGTTATTTCTCGCATTCACGCTTGTAAATTTGGCAAATTGCTTTATCAGAAATTCACCGGTTTGGCAAATCGCGTTGTGTGGGCAAATTTATTATGTTTTATATTTATGTTTAAATAAATATGTCTTCTCTCTCCGTCATTCTTTCGTCTTCCTCTCGCGCTCATAAATTCTCGAAGAACGACTCGCGAAGTAAATAACATTCCATTGCGGAGATTCTCCGATCGTATTAGTTAACGGTGTATTTAGTTACGAGCAACAGAAGCCACGTATATCGAATAGAGATGTCATTTTTTTCAGCAGTTATTTATACAAACGTCCTTTAAAATTATTTTCAAATGGCAAAAATTATTCCATCCGTATCAAGTATCTCGATCGCACGCGTAGAAACTACGTTACTCGCCAAATTCCTCAGCTAATTTGTGCAACAGTGTGCAATAATTTCACTAATTAATATTCAATCCGAAATCTAAGAAGATGCTAATTTATACTGATCTAGCAAAATTCATGTTCTTGATAAGATCGAATTAGTAAAAGCAAAATAAATATCGAATGATTAATAAATATACAGGCGAATAAACGTATGAGAAATTAGATACTTATATCCTGTACCGTTAAAACAATGCGAGGATAAATTGTACGTACGTACATTTGATACGCTTCGCCAACAGCGAACAAGTAGATCAATCAGTTGCGATATGAATGATTGCATGCAAGATTCGTTAAACTATAAAAAAAAGATTGCGGATCACTTGAAGAATAAAAAACGAAAAAATTTTCATATACACAGATATAGTTATATTTTTTTAAATTTTGTAAATTCGCGATCTGCTATCTATACAAGCAACACGATACTATCAAATACTTTTTTTACTAAATAATATAAAATGCAATATAAAAATAATTTAAAAAATAATATAAAAATAACTAAAATATGCGTATAATATATAATAATATAAATAACATATAATATATGATAATACAGTATTTTTTGCAACCTAAATAATTTATTTTCTTGACTTTTTTGAACTGTCATAAATATGTCAAAATCGATAATTGCACCGATAATAGGTTCTGCTCAACGTGAGATTAACTTCCGCCTGTTTTCTCATCGGACTTGGTTCTTACACATGCGAAGAAAGCGAAAGAGTTCCGAGCTATCTCGAGCTTCTTTCGGTCCCTTTAATAAAGATGCGAAGCCGCCGTTGACTTTGCCGGTACTTCTTCGCCGGCCGACTCGCAACCTCGCTCGATACGATTTTCGATGCCGATGACCCAAACTGATTTGTTTAGTATCGAGATTCGATCGGACAATATTGCGTCCGCGTGGAAGCTTCCAATTCACGATTATACCTGCTACTTTATAACGTCACGAACGCGAGTATCGATATTGCCGTTTCTATCACGATCGTAGTATCGTCTCATCTTCGATCTCTTCTGATGCTTTAATCGAAAAAAGAGAAATTCCATCGGCCATTTTTCGAAGAGAGAATGATAATATCAAAAAAAAAATTGGTAATTTTCCTGATTTAAAATATATAAATAGTATAAAACAATACTATTTAAAACTACAGACACGGATATAACATTACATTCTTTGATATATTATATTTAATGATTATTATATGTATAATTATAATTACTGTAATATAAAAATAAACAAAAAATAATATATAATAATATAATATAAAAATTATTAAAAAATATTAAAAAATATGCTTCTTAAAAGATGATACTTTGCAGTATCAGAAACATTCTACATAATAGGCATGTTATATTATACACAAATATAGAGAGATACATTGTCTAAAGAATGCGAGAGAAAGAAATTCCGGTAATTATTTATAATATACGTGATAGCATGATAGCAGTCGAGATGAAAGACGTCGAGATAACTTTCATGTTTACATTAATATACAGATATATTGATATGCGAGGTGTACAGACAAAATAATATTTTCTTTTTTTCTGCGATACCCGCGGCCAAGTTGATCTTGGCCTAGATACGATACTGTTTGCCAAATTTATTATCCCTCTTTCGCTTTGGCATCTATACGTGCGTACAGTCTATCGAATCCGAACGGACTTTTGCGAGCCGCAACGATCGAATATCTCGCCTCGCTCGCAGTGCACAATGATTTTTCGAGCTTGGCGAATGGTTTACAGTCCATAATAATACCACTTGCGAGCCGGCCGTATCGCAAATCAAGTCGGGATCTTGCTGCACCGCCTGCAACCAGCTACGTGCGTCCGTCTTGGATCACGCACTTCCGTCCCGTGTCTCGTCGTCCTCCCGAAAGCGAATTAAAAGCAACGCCAGAGACATTCGATATATCATATCGAATCCTCCAAACAAACCTAACCGACGTTATCCCAAGAGGAGATCGCATCGTGCGTATTTTATTGATTTAATACGAAAGAACGAGACTTACGCAGAATTAACGAGTGTGTAAATTGATTAAGAGCTCAGTTCATTTTAAAGAATTTGAAAAAATGATTTTTTACATTCTCTGAAAGTATGATGTCCGAAGAATACGTCTTTAAAATTTTATTGAAAATTTCGCGAAATTGACGGAGTTATAAGACTTTGTATAGGATAGCATGCGGATCTTCAAATGGGCCTGCAAAACTTTAGCGCGCGTTTTCCTCAAAATATTGTTTTCAAAGTTGGTGTGACGAATATCTCGAAAACTAATGAACCGAATAACTTCAATTCTTTTTTAAATAAAAGAGAACATCTTTTTTAAGGGTATTAAACCTAAATAGAATTTAAAAGAACTGATAAATTAATATCTTTCTGACCTTCAAGAAATGAATAAGTTTCAACAAAATTAAAATTCTAATTTTAAAATGACCCTACTTTGTCATTTTTCAATTTTCTCTAATGAAATTAGATTCAGTATCTCATCATAAATATCCTGCTCATAAATATCCAGAATAAAACTAGCCGAGTTTACTGACAAAAAAAAAGCTCAATATTCAAGACAAAAATACTGACGTACTGTTTAAATATTAAAAAAAAAAAAACATATGTAAAGCGTCAAAACGATCAATTTCTAATATCCTTCAAAAAAAATTCTAAAAATTATTAATTTTTATATTAGTAGTTTAGGCCCTTTAAAACCAGGAAATCAATAATTAATTAAACATCGATACCACTTATATATGCAATTTCGCTGCATATTTGAGTCGCAATGCTGACGCAGTTATAAAGTCAAAGTAAAACGCGGAAGATGATTATGTTTTTCACTTTGCGATGTTCGACGAACAATGTTCTTCGAGTACGATCTTCTCGAGCAATGGAAGAGGACGCGATAAATATGTCAATGTTAATTAATTTAATGTGAAAGTATGACCGCATAATTCGAATCACGAACGCTCGGTCCTGTGATTTAACGCGATCGACCGGGGTGGCGATAAACAGACCATAATGGCGAATTTAAACCGATCCGAATTATGGGTCCGAGACACGTACACATAGGACCTCCGCGCGCTAGGGCAGCGTCTCGCGTTTCGCGATTTATGGTCCAATCATACAAATTAGTGCGCGCCGCTTAACTTTTGATAAGGACGGGCGGAACTCGAAAGGGACGCGCGAGGAGATCCCCTCCCATCGAAACATTAAACGTACATAAATTAAACGGGCATCCCTCTCGTTCGGTCCGAGAGATCCACCCAGCAAAATTGCGCATGGCTGCCATGCAACATATGCATTATTCAACTTTCCAGATCTTGTTGCACGAGAAACGAAAGCTGTTTTCGGGACGACAAATCAGGATCCGAGGTACGCATTAAATGTATTTTTCGTTCTTCAGTGAAAGAATCAGAAAAAATTGCACGTGAAGAACGTAACAATGGTAATTAATTCTTCGACAGCTATATGGCACAAGTCTTTTTGGGAAAAAAAATTAATTACACCCATATCTGTATCAGACTTTATATCTGAGACTTTCCAAGTCCTTTATCCAAGTTACGGCCAATTCAGATATCATGTAATTGACGACTATATTTGAATGAAAAGTACATTCTTGAAAAATTTATGTTTTCATGTTAAAAAATATGCCGGTTAAAATTTTTGTCTTAAATATTTAACACGTTAATTTAACGTATTGCTGTTGTATTAATTAAATTCTAATGTTAAATTATTAAAATAACTGAAAAATGTGTAAAAATAACACAATGTGCACATATTTTTAATTTTACACATAGATATGTTCCGTATTATTAGTGACAAGATTCATCTATTAAAATTTACAGAAAAAAATATTGATTTTATTCTACAATAGGAGTGAGAGATTACAGACCGTCAATAACATTTTTCCAAGTAAATTTTATCAATAAAATTATGTTGATTATTGACAAAATTTATTTCAAGTTACTATAAAGTTTGCATTCATTTTATATTGAAAAATATAGTATTACCAGATATTACCATTCAACACATCCATATTATGTTAAATTAACATAAAAATATGTGGACTATTTGGGACATGCGATATATGTTAAATTTAAGCCAAATTTCCTAACAGTGTACGGCTTGAAGAGGCGCTAAAAATAGTAAAATTTCAATTGGACAATGTTAATCATTTAACCCAGTGTCTAATTATCCTCTATTAATCGCATACGGTGGAATCGAGCTTGGGTGTTCGCGGTAACATTTCGATTGCCGTTAGAGAGGAGACCCTTCAGCTGGTATTTAGAATCCCTCGCCCGTTCGGGGACCAATTCTCGAGCTCTTGTTTCACGGTTTTGATTCGAGCCAACTCCGGGATTCCGTGTTGGCTTCCTCCCGTGTCTCGCGACAGTTTGACAGGTGCAAACAAATCATTTCTATGCTCGAACACAATATTCCTACCTACCTACCTACTTTCTTCTTTAGAAGCCGCACGGAATTGTTCCCAGAAAACCTCGAGGCGCGCTATGTAAACCCGTACGCGATATACAAACGGACACTGTTTAAATACACCTGAGAACACGCGAGAACTGTCTAAATACACCTGCGCCTGCGTATGAAGGAGGTGACGCGAGACAAGAATAATATTTATTATTTTTCAATGATTTGACAGACTACTCTACGAGGAGTGAGGAGTGTAAAGAATGTAGGAAAATGTGTTTTTCCCTTTCACTTTAAGCGAATCTTGTTTGTTCTCAATTAAAAGCCCAGTACTCTAGCAGTACGAAAAATTAATTATTTCTAGAAATTTTTTTTTAAGCATATTAGAAATTGATTTTTTCGGCATTTTACATATTTTCTATTCACGTTTAAACGATATGTTAGTATTTTTAAATCTTGGATATTTAGTTCTTTTATGTTTAAAATTGCATAGTTCGACCTTATAACATGCTGTTTTTCGTGTACAATTGTCTGAAATTAAAAAAAAAAAACGGTCTAGTTTTATTCCGTAGGATATTTTTGAGATACAGAATCTAATTTTATAAGAAAAAATTGAAATAACAAAGTACACTTCTTTCGGTCACGTATCTTCTCGATCCCATCGTCGTTCAAAGCGTAGATTCGTGTGGCCGATAGGAAGTTACCGAGAAACGCATCTCTTCACCGCTTGCCTCCGTGCAACAATCGTCCCGACGTGCGAAGGGTTAAACACTGTTTATTCAATCAGGACCCTTCTTCCCCCATTCGTTATCGATGGCCGACCGATCATCATCGCCGCTTATGCGCGCGCGCTAAATTATAATGCGTCGCCGGCGACCGCGCCCTTATAACGCACGCACATGCACGCATGCACGAGTAAGTATGTAAATGAACGGGAATGTGATATTTAACGATCGTACCCGGGGCCCGATCGGCCCCGACGGAATCGGTGGCAATGAACCCCGAGATCGGTGCCCCTGCTCGTTCTACCACCCCTTCTTCTCCCTCTCCACACGATCGTTTTGGTACGACCGATAAGCCGATCTTTGCGCGATCCCATCGATCACCGCAATTATTGCCGATATCGGGTGCGAGAATCTCGCAGAGCGACGCGTTTCGTCCTCGTCGTCGTCGTCGGTTGAAACGATCACATTTTCTCGTCAATGAACGCCAAACGGGCCAGCCCATCAGCTTCCGTGAAACGGGACAACAAATTTCGAAGATCAAACTTATCTCTCGTAACTTCTTCTTTATCTCTTCGGGCTATTTTTCAAGTGACGGACGGTTTATAAAATGAAGTATATAATTTTATGAATGATAAGATAAGGGAAATGTACAGAATACCATAATTAGTGATTTTAACTACCAAAGTTTGAAATCAAATTTTCCTTCTCTCGAGAGATACTTGAACTTTTCGAGAGAAGAAATATATATTATATTTTTTTCTGATTTTTAGAATCCAATAATTGTCTGCTTTTTAAAATATTAATATGAAATGCTATTATATATATGCTATAGTTTTACGATTTCGTAGCATACTTCTATTCGAATTTCTTGATATAATAATTAAATCTAAGAAAATCAAACTAAATTTTCATTCAATGTTCGCAATTATACAAATTTTCCAAAAACGCTAATAAATGTGTTTTTAAAAGAGAGATGGTAGTTATAGCGCAAAAATTTACTTTTGACATCGTAAACGAACATGTCAGTAGAGAATCGGAAGTCTCGCGAATGCATAGGTGCGTCAATATCGCACGTGTTTGCTGACAAATAGAGATTCTAATATATATTCTTTTCTATTTTTCCTATATGCAATATTTCACGGCTTTTCGCGTTTTCCAATTAAAAATGCAACGAATAATAATATTTTACTATTCTTCATAAGTTTTTCAAAAGAATAAAGTAAATACTATTTTCATATATCAGTAAATGTATGTTTTTGGTTTGTACAAAAATGTATACAAGATAATTATAATAACATAACCGTTGCTTGAAAAGATATGAGAAAGTATTATTGTTTACGTATTTTTTATATATATGTACGCTTTATTTTAGTAAACATTCTTGCGTGTGTATATGTATTTACGTCGCAAATATAGTGTTATAAATGGCCGCGATTTCTCATTCGCGTTTTCATTACGATAAATCTGTATTGAGTACAACTGCGTAAATGTTTAAGATCTGAAAGTACCGTCTTCTCGTCGTTGCTGCGAGCATCCTGTCGGCACAACAGATAGGAAGAAGTATTGCGCGAATGAAATAAATGTATGCCAGAAGAAAAATGAAAGGGAGAGAACGTTTTTAATGATTTATTTGAGAATATCTGTGTCCTTGCAATAGAGAACGTATTTTATCTTTTATCTCGATTCGAGGGCCAACTAATTATAAATATTTGATTTAAATATTTAATATTATATAAATATTTAAAATATACATGTTATAAGCAAAATTATTAGTTTCGAGAATATAGAACGCAATATACATAAACCGAAAATCATCAATTAATCTGGCACAAAACATATTAACAATGTCTAGTATTAAAGACACTAATTTTATTAGCGCATGCATATATTGGTCTTATAAATATGCCGAGTTTTCCTATTATTTTTTTTTTCATCGACAATATTGATCGACTCATTGAAACTCTTTTTTTTCTATACCATTCGAGAGTTAACAGTTCAATAAGCGCTGCCATTATATGTATTTATTCATCATTATACATCGACATCCGGATATGGTTCGAAAAGGGCACGCTCGTAAATTATTCCGGGAACCACTTATCCACCACGATCCTCCGCTTATGAAGTTAACACGATGAAGAGTTTGGTGATATTGTCGGTCTGGACCATTCGCGAGCGATTTATTTTGATCGATGGTAAGCGGGGTGCGAACTTTAATGACCAACACACGCTGACTCGACACCCTCGATTCCTCAACATCATCTCCCCGAAATCCCATTTGGGAGCATCGACAAAGCATGCGTCATTCCGTTTAACTGTTCGTAATTGGGTACACGAAATGACTTTCGTGTACTCGCAAAGAATTAAGATATTATCGCGAAATCGCGTGTTATTTTCTTCCGTTATCATTTCTTTTTTTTTTTTTTTTTTTACGATCGCCACATTCTCATTTCGCTATATAGACGCGATAATTGATGTTTCTCTTCGAGACATAAACCGGTATACTACTTTAACTGTTCGTAATTGGGTACACGAAATGACTTTCGTGTACTCGCAAAGAATTAAGATATTATCGCGAAATCGCGTGTTATTTTCTTCCGTTATCATTTCTTTTTTTTTTTTTTTTTTTACGATCGCCACATTCTCATTTCGCTATATAGACGCGATAATTGATGTTTCTCTTCGAGACATAAACCGGTATACATGGCGTATTATCATTACGCATTGAATAATAATGCGTGCGAGCAAAGATGTGCACAAAGAAAGGACCACATATTAAACTTTGACTTGCATGAATATCTTCTCTGTCGAACAAAAGCGATTATTGTCATCATGTAAAGTATGAATATGATAATTAACCGATTGTGAAATTGTTATTAATCTTTCTCGTCTAATACGTACATACATACATAAATAATCTTTTTGAAACATAAAAACTGACAATGAAAATGATCTTCTTCGAGTTCTAAAAAGTTGTATAATTTTCATTTAGATTTATACATTCTATCGAGCGTTTTTTTCGTATTTTTATTCGGTAAAGTTTACAAAAAATTATGAAATTGTAATTTATATAATAAAAAATCATACAGAGATCGAATTATTATAATAAAAAATAAAATTCTTAGATCACGAAATCCTTTTTTATAAAACTTTGAACTGCATTTTCTTATAGATATGGATCGATCAATTCTAGCGATTTGTTATTTATCTCTAAATTCTAGTTCTGTCCATCTACATTGATCAAAGTTGGTGCAATTGATCCTTAATGACTCTCTCATATGAGATAATCTCGTGTTCATAATCTTCAATAACATTGACACTAATGAGGGAGGCTCGAACGATCAAGAGTGACTATGACTGATCGCCTTAATGCTTTCCAATATGATTCGCGAGGTCTTCGAGTGCATATTTGCTTAAATTTTTACGCTTGTCAAGTAGTTATTTACATCATCGCGTGGAAAAGAAGAGAGAAAAAAGATAGCTAACCGGGAATAATCGTATGGGTTACGAAGATGAATTCGCGGCTGAGGATCATCCTCTAATCGTTTATAACTGCGGATACATTCCACGAAGTGCACGCGAGCTTCGAGAGTAATTACGGTAGATGGTTGTTCATTAGAAGAGTAACGCCGGATCGCTTTTAATCGCAAACAGCCTTCCGCAAGTTATTACTTGCTACTCAAAGCTTCAGTTCGACCTTCGCGTCTATCGAACATAACGATCAAAGGATAATTGCTTAGTCGGTGCTAAGATAATCATAACTATAACGTACGTTCGGAGAAAGTTTGAGAAGTCGGGAACATCTGTAAAACACATTTCTGACAGTTTAATCATCTTCCGATGCGGCTTCGAGATTTATAGAGGGTATCGTCTTTCGTTCTTGACATAATGCTCTTAACATTTGTATTTAGAGTATCAAAAGATCGATCAAAACGGACGGAATTTAACAATCAATAAGGAAATTAATTTATTCAAATTTCTCGAACATTGATAGATGACGCGACGAGTTTGGATGCTCCGACATACAGTATCACTCTCGTAGATCGCATGTACCGAGTTTATTCCACAGCTAGATTAAAAAATGCGCGCATGTCTACATACATCAATCTTGGCCGAGCTTCCATTCCTCGATCGTGTCCCGTGTAAATGCATGCCGATCATCAATTTCCTGTATAACCGCCGACTTAAACCACTGTCCATTTGTACGGATACATTATACACGCGCGCTACATGCGTACGTGCGTGTGCGTGCATTGGAGAATCCTTCTCGAATCGCGCTCGGCGCCTTTGTACCGAGTCCGACTAATTTGTAATGGAGATGGAAACTGCGAGGAGATACATCATTGACCGTATTTGTCTTGTATCGAGCGGGGATATACCTTCGAGGTTGACGTGGCGTTTAAATCACGCTGATCTCTCATCGTGAATTAGTCGATCGCTAAATCTGCGATCGTATCGTACGAAAGTATCGTTTGTTATTTTTCGGAAGCGGAAAAAGAGGGATGCGAGAAAATTTTTTTTTCTCTATTCATCTTTTCAATTTTCTTCCTCCCAATGATTTGTGTCCTATTAATAATCGTGAAATTCTCGCCAACGAGTATATATTCGACATTGCTGATAAAGTAACGGAATTTCGCTCAATTATATTTGTCGTGGGTGAAAATGATTTGACGGAGGAAGTCCGGCGCGATTTTTATGCAAATCTCGGAACTCGAAGAGACATCACAACTAATGATAATTAAGCGCGCGATAAAGAAAGGGGGAGAGGCGAGAGATGATGCTGCAGATAAGACGGGATTTAATTATATTCATATATCGGCCGGAGGGGGAGAATCGTCGCGAGGATTTTCAGGCGGAAGCTCGTTTGAGGTAGATTCCTCGACTGATTGTGAGGCAAATTTTGATGAAATTTTTCGATATCCCATCAGGAAAAAATATCATCGAAAAAACTCGTCAACGCACGCCGGATATAATTGACAGAAAGGGCAATCGTGGGAGGTCGACGAGCGCCAATTACGGGTCGGGCATCTCTTTGATCCTCCTGCATAAGTATCGATATCCGAAATAATCGACGGTGTATCTCGACAAAACAGACGCGAAAGTATGTCGCCGGATGATCGAAACTCGACGCAAATGTCTGACCAAGAGTCACGGATCTCAAGTGCGATATCGTCGGGATATTATCATTGGGTCGAATTTAACGGTAGTGTAACGTAGCTGATCTCAATAATAAATCCGAGAGATCATCGGGTAAAAATAGCAACCCCGAGCTTCGAAAATCAAACGCGTCGCAAATAAACTTCGCGAATGTACAGTGTGAATATTTTCATGTATAATTAATTTAAACGTAACAGAAAGAGAGGCAATTTACGAGCGTAATGGTTTGAAAAATATATATTCAATTTTATATTAAGAAAAATGTAATGTGTGAATTTTAAAATATTAATAATAGGAAAATTAACAACGTTTCTTTGTCAAATTTTTGTTATCGCGAAACCTTGTCGATTTCATGAAAGAAAATTAGCTGGAATCTACAGTTGGAAAATATAAAAATTGTGTATTTATGTGTGGGCCATTACGGACACACAATATATATGTATGTTAAATTTAAGCTAAACTTTCCAACTGTGTAGTGTTTAAAAACGCGTTTAGGAAGGCGATTGTCCTCGTTTCTGCGCACCAGGAAGAGCTCGCGATAAAACGGGAAAAAGCCATGGGGGGAATCTTTTAGCGTCTTGGAGTGCGTGCTGGCGGATGACAGTGCTCGACTTGTTGATGCGGATTCTAAAAGCGAACTCGTCTGCTGCAAAGGCACTCGGCACTAATGGCGGAAGCGAGACGATTACAAATGCAGGCGATTATTCTGTCTATACGCGCTGTCTGTGTCGCGACCGACACGGATGTGTTTGCGCGTGAGCTCATATACCGCAAGGATTAGAAGTACCAAAGCGGTATTATCTGGCCTTGATGGTGCATTCCGTGGTCTCTGCGATACACTCGATTGTCACCACCTAACGTTCTATGCTATTATCGTTTATACTTCCGCACGTGCAAGACCTGCTCTTCAAGAAAAACGAGTGTTTGGCTTGGTTTCTGTCTTAACTGCTATCAATCTCAAAATACATCAGTGGAACCTACGTATATCTAAGTATAGTTCTAATCTTACTTCGTGTATGTTATTCGCGTGCATGTGTAAAGAAACCTTCTCTTTTGAATAATTTTATTGTAAAATCAATTTTGGATTATATATATATATATCCTACACGATATTTATATTAGATCTCTTTTCATTTTTTTTTTATTTTATATATTATATATTATAGTATTTTATAACGCACTTAATTTTTTTTTATAATCATGTATTTACGGTTCTGATAATATTATCGAAAATGCGGAAATTTTTTCACGTTGTAAACTTGATGACTTAAGAAGACAGTGAAATCATTTCTCGACGAATCTCGAATCGTTCTCACGTACACCGGTCAGGCTCTACCCAAGGGGGATATTCGTTTGCCCCAAGGATTAGGAATTATCCTACTCGGTCATTATCCTCAGTATACCGACATGGTTCCCCAATGCACACTCGCCGTTCATCGTCCGCAAGCATTTTGCGGCGGCATCATCATCGTACAAACTACTACGAACACATACTTGATTCACCGCAGCTATTATTATTCGGCGGTGAAAATACAAGCAGGTGGAAAAACAGGTGAAGATCTAGCTGGCACGTTTTGCAGTAGCAGAGAAAATATTTTCTTTGCAAAAGAAAAGAAAGAAATGGAAACTTTTAAATCAATAGAAACTGTAATTTATTTAATAAAAAAATTAATTTAATTTTTAATTAAATAAAAAATTAATTTATAATTCACTAAAAAATTTAATTTATTTATTTAATAAATTTTTTTTTTAAATTAAAAAAATTTATAATTCCTCTGCTTTAATTGTTGATAATTTCGCAATTTAAGATTTTAAGTATATAAATCGATCGTAATTCTTCCCACGACAATCCGTATGACGGTTAGATGTAAAAGATCCAAGATCGTAGACTCTCGCTTTTACACATAACGAAACGCATGAACAGGCTAACGTTACCACAGCGGTAAGCTATGGTATAACAAGTCCCTGTGTATACATCTTCCGTACGTGCGACGAGAAAGAAGAAGGGAAGGTTCAGATTTATCATCTTCAGCCATAGCTCTAATCGTAGACGTATTGGCGAGCCCACGCTCCACGTAATATATTATTACGCCACGAGAACAAAACAATTTCATTTCTTCCAAACCGAGAACTCGCAGAGACGAGATTTGAACCGACTAGAGAACTACGAAAGCTATTGAAATTTATTACAGGCGGAGAGATAGATAGTATAAATTATTATTTATTTGCGATTATATACTTTACATTGTTTTCATTTTATAAGATGATAGTGTATTAAAGAAAGAAAAAATTTGGAAACTTAGAATGGTACTGTGTGTTTTTAAAAAATTTATAGTCCTAGCCTTTATATTTAGCTCATAGTCCTCACCGTAACATAGTTCGTGCTGGCTGACTGACTATACATATAATTGTTGGTGAGGACTCTGCGGTTTCGCTGTCGCGATCAAGACAATTCAAGCTTATTGTCAAACTTTCTCAACAACCATGCCACCACAATAGTGGTTTGCTAAATTTACCGTAAATTAGAAAACCGCATTTCTTATTCAATAATGCTCAAATTTAACGTATATGTTTTTATGTATCTAACTAACACGAATAAAATGTGCTAGAGATTAAAAATCAAAATATTGTTTTCAAAATAAAATGTGCTAGAGATTAAAAATCAAAATATTGTGGAATAGAAAAGATACATGTACTATTATGAGACCTTGAATTAATATCCTATTTATTTTTGTAACATTATCCTGCCAGTTTTAAATTTGGTTATTTTGTGACAACATCGTTTCAATATAATCAGTTGTTTCTATATAATCAGATAAAGTACACGCTCCGCACGGTATCTTAATTGTAAAAAGAAATTTGTGTAGATATATTTGTTGTTTGATTTATTCTGTAAGTACTTTATCGTTCTACTCTGTATTCCTTCCAATCTTTTAAAGAGTTATGTCAAAAATATATACAAACATTTTGAAGTTGTTGTGTTTTATATATATGTATTCTATACATAATTTAAAAAAAGAAAACATATACTATCTAGTTTTTATAAATACAATCACAGCCAATAGAACAATGTGAGACGAAAGTCACGGTCATATAATATTCATTTTGTAATATAGCAATTAATTCGTCTATAATTATACAACATGCTTTTATGTATTTCTATATTAACTTTTTTTTGTAGGTTATTGTAATGGCCACTAGGGAACAAATTCAAGAATATCTCGATATAAGGGATAATATCGATATGACAGTAAATGCAGTTTTAAGTAAAACTGTATCTATAGATACCATACCAGAAGGTGAAGAAAAGAATATGATAATATTAACAGCAGTAACTGTATACAAAAAACAGAAATATTTGCACGAAAAGGTATTATATAAGGAAGCAATAATCGATTATAAGGTAACTTTCGGCTCCGACCCGAGAGCGGTAAAAATAGTTGCAGCCAAATATAAACTTGTACCTAAGCTTCTTAGCATAGAAATATATAATCATACTCAAACTGATCCAAATTATGAATTTGATAAAGATATAGAAGGAGAATTCATTACATATGCACAGGAAGAAGCATTATGGTTAAGATTAAAATTGTTGGTACAAATAGGATTTATACCTTGCCCTTGCAGAGCTTGTTTTTTGCTGGAATTTTCAATACGTGTTTACGAATTTGTCATTGAGTTGCAAAAAGGTGATTGTTACCCGCTGTGGCGTTTACATAGAGCGGCAACAATAGAATGGATAAAAAAATTCGAAATGAGGCACCGTGACGAAATTTATAACTTCTGCAGTAAGTCGTGTAATAAGATATATAGTGTAGCACCTGTAGTACCTGTATGTAGTACTAGCACGAGTAATCAATAACAGCTGTTGTCAATGTTTTGATGGAAAAATTATTTTCGAATTATCAAAAAATTCTAAAATGTTTTATAGTCAACAAATTTTAATCTACTTCGGTATTGCATTGTGATGAAATATTAATACAAACGTGCTAACATTTACTTTATAAGATTTACGGTTTAATGAACAGCTTGAGTAAGATATTTAAAAAAGAAACAGCACTTATAAATGCCATTCTTATAAATGACGAGTCTTTAAGATATCTGTAAGATGCTTTTTTATCAACGGAAAGAGAAAATTTTGAGAAATATGTATTGTAATTTATGAACACAAACGAGCTTTTATATACGACTAGGCTACAATATTATTTTTAAACATTAATTGTTATTGAAAATACCTGTATGAATGTCGTTACATTTTAATGTGTATAAAGGTCTTTAAATATTACAAGAAAAGTTATATGAGGCAAACGTAAAAGCAAGAGAAAGAAACATAGAAAGAAAGAGAGAGAAAGAAACAGAAAGAAAGAAAGAGACAGAAGAAAAAAGAGTTTTTTTCCCGTATTCAATCCAATGATCAATGTTAATAAATACTGACAATGATAAAAATATATGCAAAACGCCAAAGATCAGTTTTTAATATCCTCGAAAAAAAAAATTCCTAGAAATCATCAATTTTATATTATTACGCCACGAGAACAAAACAATTTCATTTCTTCCAAACCGAAAACTCGCAGAGACGAGATTTGAACCGACTAGAGAAAGCTATTGAAATTTATTACAGGCGGAGAGATAGATAGTATAAATTATTATTTATTTGCGATTATATACTTTACATTGTTTTCATTTTATAAGATGATAGTGTATTAAAGAAAGAAAAAATTTGGAAACTTAGAATGGTACTGTGTGTTTTTAAAAAATTTATAGTCCTAGCCTTTATATTTAGCTCATAGTCCTCACTGTAACATAGTTCGTGGCTGATTGACTATACATATAATTGTTGGTGAGGACTCTGTGGTTTCGCTGTCGCGATCAAGGCAATTCAAGCTTATTGTCAAACTTTCTCAACAACCACGCTACCACAATAGTCGTTTGCTAAATTTACCGTAAATTAGAAAACCGCAATATTTCTTATTCAATAGTCCTAATGACAGCCATAGTTGTAATTACTAATTATATGAGTTTATTGCAAAGTTAAAATATTGTAATAAACAAAATATTGATTAAAAATACAAAAAATTTTTAATATCTGAATAATAATTCCTCTCCATTCCTCCAATTAAATATATTGCTTCAACTATTATAATTGAGTAAAGTGTTCTGTAAACAAATTTCTTCGACTGTAAAGTTTCGTTTTAAGAACATTTAGATCGAAATATGACGAGTAGCCAATTTTTATGATTGCGATATATATATATATATATATATATATATATATAATCGAGTCATGCCTTATCTCCATCGATCGCGTAACAATTTCGAACGATTTCACCGTGCGATCTAGTTAAATCGCGAAATTCACGCAAGAGTCGTTTTGAACCGCCAGGCAAATCGCAAGTGTAATCACTCCCATAATTACACGAATTACAATTCCGCCCTTCTCATACGCGATCTATCACGCTGGGCGCATTTAATTTAGCGATGCACGTGTGATAGATGATGATGATATCCTGATAGATGATAATGCCCGTCTAGAGCATAAATCTGTGAATCCGCCTTGCGTTAATTTTTATTTCTGCCAGACGGATCTAGCAGGACACGACTATCCATGAGAATTCCGCGAGAAACCGGGAGATCGAGATATACATGTGCTGCTAACGAGATACACACGTGTGAAACGAGAAGAAGGCGTTATGATTGTCGATACAAGAAAACGAGGCTTGTATTACAAAGGTTTGTCCATTTACGTCGTAATTAATTAATTTCAAAGAGCATATCTAACATTTCCTATTATTTATGGAGATCTGTGATTACCTTTCCGAATCAATCTTTTCTGAACAAGATTCAATTTTTGTTGGATCGGAATGATAATCGAAACTCGAAAATCAATAGCAATATTATCGAAAATTGATTAAACGGTATAAAATCCAAGAATAATTCCTATCAATAAATTACGTTGTATAATTAATGTGGGACAAGGTAGAGGTATTAATAGTACAAATGTTCGACTGGGAAGCGTCGAAATTAATGCGGGAAACGTAAGCGTCTTTTAAGGAATTCTACGCAAAGATTCTCGTGACAAATGGCAGCAACAACGCAAAGACGAATATACATTCGGAGGATCATCGACGGATTTTTTATACATTGTACAGAGTACCGTACGATGAATACACTTGATACGCACGACGAGATGCATGCGTGTAATAATTTCTCGTGTGAAAGATTTCTCAATCCCGCATGCGAATCGCAGGCAAGCAAAATAACAAGAATGGTCGAGGGATAAATCTCCTGCCTGAGATCATCGACTTTCGATAGACGGCGAAAAAGAAGTCCCTCACCGAAAAATAATATTTCAGAATTTCTTGCGATTAAACATCTCTAAACTCTCGCGCACATGCCATATGTTGCATCTTAATTTTTCACAAATGCCGTGAAAAATGATTACGCTGTGCGATAGAAACGTAAGGATCGTCCAATCATTTGTCATTAATATCCAAATTAGAGAATAAGATAATCACACACTGTTGTGTTTCCTTGTTAAAAATATGTCGGTTAAAATTTTTGTATTGAGTATTTCACACGTTCATGTTACTTTAACATATTGCTGTTGTGCTAATAGAACTAATGTTAAATTATTAAAACAACTGAGAGAAGAAAATGTACAAATAACACATATATGTGGATATGTTCCGTATTATTGGTGACAGGATTTATCGGTTAAAATTACATCATAATAATTTACATAATAATTTACGGAAAAAAATGTTGATTTTATCCTATAATGGAGTGAAAGTGACTACAGACCGATATTTTTTTTTTAATTTTGTCATTAAAAATATATTGATTTTACACAAAATTTATTTCAAATTACTATGAAGTTTGCATTCATTTTATGTTGAAGTATTAACATAGTATTAGCGTCACCATTTAACATATTCATATTACGTTAAATTAATACAAAAATTTGTGTGGACTGTTTGAGACATGCAATATATATTAAATTGAATCCAAATTTTCTCATGCAACAGTACCCAGACAGCGCAAAACGTCCTCAGGATCATCCTGAATATGTCCAGGATGGTTCAGGATATTTGTAGGATGTTTTAAGATATTATTATAAATATATTTTATGAAATACACGACTCAAACCCGGAAGCCAAACCTAAAATATTCATGTACAGCACGAAAAAAGGACATCCTTGTGCTGTCTGGAATAACTTTGAAAAATGTTTGTTTTTCTCATGTACCCAGACAGCACAAGGATGTCCTTAGGACGTCCAAAGGGCATCCAGGACATACATGTAGGATATCCTGAGGACACGACGAAAAGAAAAGGTATAAAAATAAACGAACCGCGTTGCAACTATCATTTGAAACGCAGTTTCTCGTACCTGATACCTAAGTGCATATCTCCGTGATTCCACAGAGTATTTACACGAAAACTCGTTTGCGGTTTGCACGACGAGCCTTATAATTCACTCTTAGCATTACCTACAATCAAATTACACGATTCAGACTGCATATTCGGACGGCAAGAAATCTCGTTTCCTCTCATTGACACTGCCATTTCTCTCTTCAACTTTTGTACTTTTATTGTCTCTCAAATTGCCCAGTTGAAATCACTTATCTCGTATGGAGATAATCGTTGCCGCATTTTTATTTTTAAGGTGCCAAAACTCGCACTCGGATCTCCGGCGCCGAGTGGGGCGGACGGTTGTCACATCCCGACCGGCAATTTAACGGCCAGCGGCCGCGTGTAAATGAGAACCGTTTCGTCAGATAAAAAGGAACGACCTTCCGCGAAGGCGACGTCAATAATGATGATGATGATGATGAGGAACGAGTCCGTCACGAAGATACGTAAGGGGGCCTTTCTTGGAAACGTTATTAACGCTTCTCTTGTCGTTCGCTGATGGGTCCCGACACGAAATCTGTACCTGATCAAATTTTTCGCGATGCAACAACGACCGGCGATTTCAACCTCTCAATCGTTATATTCCAATGATGTTCGACAATGAGGAAATGCAAAATCAGAATCCGATTAAGGAACCAGTCTACTTTAGAGGATAAAAAAATTGATCTCTTTTTTAGATTTTCTGAAAATATGATATTTGAAGAATATGTCTTTCAAATTTTATTTAAAAATATGCAAAATTAACGGAGTTATAAGACTTTGAATAGGATAGCACGCGGGTCTTCAAATGGGCCTGCAAAACTTTAAACGCGTTTTTCTCAAAATATTGTTTTCAAAGTTGGTGTAACGGATATCTTGAAAACTAATGGATTAAACAACTTCACTTTTTTTTTTTTATTAAAAAAAAACATCTTTTTAGGAGTACTAAATCTAAACAGAATTTAAAAAATTAATAATTAATTTTTTTTGATTTTTAAAAAATGAATGAATTTCAGCAGAATTGAAATATCTAATTTTAAAATGACACTATTTTATTATTTTTAATTCTTTCTAATAAAATTAGGTTCGGTATCCCATAAATATCCTACGACGGATATCTTGAAAACTAATGGCTTAAACAACTTCAATTTTTTTTTTAATAAAAGAAAACATCTTTTTAGGAGTACTAAATCTAAACAGAATTTAAAAAATTAATAATTAATTTTTTTTGATTTTTAAAAAATGAATGAATTTCAGCAGAATTGAAATATCTAATTTTAAAATGACACTATTTTATTATTTTTAATTCTTTCTAATAAAATTAGGTTCGGTATCCCATAAATATCCTACAAAATAAAACTAGATCAAGTTTATTCATTTCAGATAATTACAGGAACAATATACCACACTGTCAAACTATGCATTTTTGAACACGCATTGAACAAAAAAAAAAGCTAAATATCCAAGATTTTAAAATACTAACGTGTTATTTAAACATCAATAAAAATATATATAAAACATCAAAAAAATCAATTTTTAATATCTTTTAAAAAAAATTCTTGAAAATTATAAATTTTTCATATTGCTAGAATAGATTGAGTCCTTAAGAAAGATTCATTTAAAGCGATATACCTTTCATTCTTCCATTCAATAAACTTCTCTTTGATTATTGTTTGAGACACCAACACATCAATATAATTTCAATCGTCTTCGCGAAGCGAACGCTAATGGTAAGCGCATCGAGAATTACCCTTCCATATCAATTAGACATAAAACGGAGTCATCTCGACTCTCAGCTCAACAGTGATTTCACTTTTCCGTGAAATTGCCTCGCTCGTAATTCGACTCTTGGAGGGGGATTCTTCGATTAAGACATACCTGACCATCATGACC